TTTGGCGTACAATGACCTCAGAAGAGCTCTCGGCAATGCTGCGCACGCAGGACTTATATTTAAATTACCTCGAATGGGTGTTCATGGAAATTCGACGAATTTCTCACAGGCAGATCCCATCATGTTTGTATTTCTAGCGCTAAATCGGAGTGAACAACCGCTCATAATGACGTCCCTCTGGAGAGCGCTCTGGGCCGAATTCTGTTTTTACTGATGGCGAACGACTGCCTTGCTTACCCGAACTGCGAGAGCGAAATGATTACTGACGATCCAGAATTTTGTAAATCAACATAGATCCCTGAAGATGCGTTACAATTCCCAAATAACTTGCATCGATTACAACAGTTGTGTAATGAGTGGTTCTCCAACCTTTACTTTAACAAAGGCAACAGTATGTCGTTAAGATTTGAATATTGCTACTCCATAGGAGGTCACAAGCTCGAATCAGTCTACCAGCTAAGAGACCTCAGTATGTGGGTAACGTCTGCTCTCAAACCATTATCTCACTGTTCCAATGTAGAAAAAAGGCCATGTGTACACTGGGCGCAATTAGACGATCTTTCTTAATTTTCATAAAAAGCTTTCGGCCCAGTTTTGGAACATTTGTTCGGCCAATTACAGAATATTACGTTCAGGTGTGTCGTCCCAGGACGGAACAAGGTTACACCCCTCTGAAGAACATACGACAAATAGCAACCAAAGTGGTCGGTGGATTAAGATGTTTGAACGAGCCTTCTCTGCATTTTAAAGGGGTGATCACGCAGACGGTCTGTCCCAGCCGATTCGAAGAATCCGTCAAATCTAAGACACACTGACAGCCTCAGACAATCGTGTAGTTTTGAATGAGGTAGCCGCGCAGTTGATTGTAATTGGGAAGAAACAAATTTAATTCAGTCAGCCTGGTTTCATAAGGCAATTGATTATGATTCTTAATCATCTTCATAGTCGTCGCCTGTACTCTTTCTAGCGATTGATAATCCTTCTTGAACCGCGGTCGATAGACTTGAACTGCATACCCTTAGCGAAACCGAAAGAGTGCCTCGTAGTATCTTCCGAACGGCCCCTCATCGATCTATACAATCCTTGCCTCAGCGCAAATAACACCCTTTCACGCGTTTGGCTGCCCTTTGACACCGTTACGATGGTTTTAGGGAGGAGATCATTAGGACGCCGAGGTTTTTGTCCTCCTCAACATTTGAAAGGGATTGCCCGTCAAGTAGGTATTGAAAGCAAATCATCCTCCTTACTGGTCATTATGGTGCGCAGTCTCATGACCACACATTTTTCCACATTAAAATTAAGGAACTAACTGCTTAGCCTTTTGAGACTCTCTTGAAGTGCATGTCTGTCCGCGTCAGATCTAATGACCATCCTCAGCTTAACATCGTTAGAAAACATGACGACATTGCATCTCAGGTCGTTGACACAGTCGTTAATGCAGACTAGGAATAGCAACGGCCCTAAGACTGAGTCCTGGTGGACATCACTTAGAACAGATGCGGGTGAGAATAACAAGACGGTGATTGTTAGCACTTGTGCGACCCTGCCAGCGTATGGCCCCTTCATAGGCGGGGCTGAGTAGGGCCAGAGCCCCCTCTGGATTGAAGCATTTTGAAGCGTATTTGCATCGAAAGTTATGTTCCAAAAGCACCAGTCATTGTGCCTTCTTTGGCATTAAAGGGAGCTAATTTATCAAAAGGGGCTCATAAATCATGGAAAAAGAATCAGTTTACGCCAACGGGTCGCGGATAATATCGTGCGTCAACCAATACTGCTTTCATGCTCTTGATAACTGTCTTCGTTAATTTATGTATCTTATGCTGATTGTTTTCGTATTTACTCACCAACCAGTTCAAGTAGTCGACTTATATGTCTATGTATTTACTATTTAGGATTGGTGTTCATAGTCTACTTATACAAATTGTTTATCGTTTTTTACTGAATACCCAAAGCAATTATGAAGCGTAATTACTGTGCCTATCACCGAATCCCCATATACAAGCTCATGAAGCGCAAGATGAAGGCATATTATGAGGCCACTGAAGAGCTCGAGTCTGAGATTCCCTCAAAGTCGACAGCAGTTGGCAATCAGTCCCCCGAACGAGAAATGCCTATTCTGAGCTCTGAAACTTCTGCCGGCAGGTATTATGTGTGTGCGTCTCAGGGGACTCATCATACAGGTCGATATTTTAAAGGAGTGCCGAAAGTGGTTGGAAATCTGGCGTCCCCGACGCATTTCTTTTCGCTGCTGAGGCCAGGCGGGGCTGTCGCGTTGAATGCCTCACCACAGCCCCACCAGGCTCCTTCATAGCCCTCTCTAGCCCCGACATATTTGAGGGGATTAGGCGGGGCTGGTACTGGCAGGGTCAATTAAAGGTTGACTAGGCCCAAGGGCTAGTTTGTCTTCTCAGCAAATGGCCATTTGGCGCTAATAAACTTGCTGATCTGCTGTTCCCACGTCCCTGTAAATTTTATTTCGTTGGTGGGGCAAGGCGGGGCTGTCGCGTTGAATGCCCCGCCACAGCCCCTTCTTCAGCCCCGTCACAGCCCCTTCTCCACCCCCGCCAAGCCCCTTCATAGCCCCCTCTAGCCCGGCCATTTTGAGGGGGCTAGGCGGGGCTGGTGCTGGCAGGGGAGCTCCACCCTTATATATGTGAAAGTTATTTTCTGTCTTCCTTTCGGATGGCAGCCTCCCTAATTCGACTGATGAACGGAAGATGGGTACTAGTGGTTTCAAGAGTTCGTTTGCCAGTTCTTTCAAGAATTTTTCTGATGTATTGTTCGGAGACGACGAAATCGCTTATTTGAGATTTTGTTGTCCTCTTTCCCCGAGAGATGGCTGGAAGGGTGTAGACTAGAGCACGGAATCAGCGGTCTCAACAGCATTTCTGACATTGCGACGCCTAAAATCTGTAAACGAAGGCAAAGCACGCTCCCAAATGTTCGGCATTCTCACTGTTTTCAACGATTTCTACACAATTATCCTCCTTTAGTATTGCAACCGGGCCCTTATGTTTCTGTCGGCTGTTAGCATAATGAAATAAAATCTTGAGCTTCTGTTCAACCTGTCGGATAATCCTGGATTAATGCTCATCCAGTGTTTGCCTGGTGCATTTTTTGACTGCATTTCGTTGACGACGAAACTCCTCGAGTCGTGCTGGCGACCCAGTTTCCCTGAACGTCTTCTATCTTTTGCTTTTCTTTCTTAGCCGTTTTTCAGGTCCCTAGTTATCCAAACAGGTCGACTTGTTGTTTTTTATAGCCCCATTAGACGAAAACGTCGAGACCTTCAAGGAAACATTTGACAGATCTATATTGCATGGTCATATATCTACTCGACGTCAATGTCTGACATAAATCTGATGTAAATCTGTGCATGTTTTTACTTCGTACATATGCAGAAAGGGCTTTCCAAGACCGTTCCTATGCCCTTTATATATATTGAGTTATACTGAATATTGGATTATATGGATTACCAATGGGCAAGTTTACGTAGATATTTCGGCTTTGAAAGGAATGAGAGTGAGAAGTATTTTGAATAACTAGTAATATTTTTCACTACCCTCGTGATTTTGTCTGGTTAAAAAATTCTGAATGTAGAGAAATTTGGGGTCGACATAATATTTCCCAAATGTTCGGAAAGTAATTACATGACCCTAAGAGAGTCACCATCGTCCATAGAGCTCTAAACGGGCATTGCGATAAGAAGTACATAAGGCGAAGGAAGAAATTCCGAAATTTTCCCTAATGTAAATGTGTGTTGAACATACCAGAGACAAAAAGCTATGCTAGTAAATGCCAACTAGCAATCACCTCCGCGGTACGACTTGCAAACACCTGCTTAGTTGACTGTTATTCTTAAAGCTATCAATGTAGCAAGCCAGTCACAACAAATATTCCAAGTCACAGTACAACTGGCTAAATAACGTCAGGAACAGTGAGCAACACCATAAAGGCAAAATTAACCATCTTGTTGGGGCGTTCCTAATATGGCACTAATAAAATAAAACTGGTTAGGTAAGGGGATGTAACATGATAAATGGTGATAGTAAGGCCACCGCAGTCGACGATGTCCACCGTGTGCTCCACGGCAAGGTGAGAACAGGGACGGTGACTTGCGCCTGATTTAGTTTACAGTGGTAGTGGACTTGCACAGCATCCACCGCACTCTTCTCCTCCCCCACTTGACCCGGTGTCAAGACAAAGTCAAGAAGACTGGAGGCAGGGGAAGACGCAGATGAATGGCACAGTCAAGCCCGCACCTTGCCGTTCCACTCCACACCCCCTGGTGCACATACCAAACAACCAGGTTTTGACCAACAACAAAAGGGCGGCTGGCACGGTTGGGGCTGCACTTAGGCGTGTCGTCACACCTGGCTCTGACTCCATGGATTGGGAGTGCCATAAAGGCCACATTAAGAAGGAGTCATTGCAGCCTGGCTCTTAGACCACCGGTCGGCCGCTGCACAAAAACACACAGCACTGGGTCGACTGTGAGGTCCAAGTTATCTCGTCAGTTGGCGGCCTTCGAAGCCACGATTTTTTCTGCATCGTGATAGCTTCAAGCGCCTCAGATTGTTTATAATGAGTAAAGTTCACTGTGCCGTCGACCTCACTTTCTCTTTTCATTCCGAGGCTCCAGTCACCGGCTGAGCCGGTCAGTTGACAGATGCGAAAATGATTGTGGTGAGTGACATAATCTAGTGACCTTGTCTGCGCGCCTCGTGCACGGCCTGGCCCCCCAAAAAAGCACCAAGGTTTCACATAACATGGGTTGATTGGCGAACATCGCACATGCGTGAGCGTGCCGTAGGTAACGTTGAGAAGGAGCCGCTTCATCCTGGCTCTCAGCCCACCAGTCTGCCACTCCACGCACACATACGCACAGCTGGGCAGACTGGGTGAACTGAGTTGGGGTGTCCGTCAGTAGCCTGCCAAGCCACAGCGCTTGACGCGCCGTGATAGTCTCAGACTCGAATCACACATGCAGTAGGGGCCGCATGGAGACGGAGCCGGGACGGACTCTTCCCACTTGCGTGGGAGGTGACAGCTGGATGCTTGTGGATGATGATGACGACGACGACGACGACGATGATGATGATGATGATGATGACGACGACGACGACGACGATGATGATGATGATGATGATGATGATGATGATGATGATGATGATGATGATGATGATGATGATGATGATGATGATGATGATGATGATGATGATGATGATGATGATGATGATGATGATGATGATGATGATGAGGATGATGATGATAGTGGGGGTTCGAGAGTGCAGTCAATTTCAGTCGTCAGCGTGAACGGTGGTGCAGAGTAGGACGAGGAGACACGAGCTAGTGTAGTTGGGGTGTTTCTTTCTGAAAGAAGATGTCCTACAAGGCCGATTGGTGTCCAGAACGTTCGTTAACAGCGTGAGTAGGTCGAGATGGTTGGGCGTTCGCGTGGCAAAATGAGCGCAGTCGGGATTTTCGTTTGACTCTGGCGACAGTGATGCGGTTGGCTTTGGGGGTTGCCAGGCCGGTCCTCATAGCTCTCCGCCAGGTCGGCCGATTCCGAGCTAGGTATTTTCAGTTGGCTGGGCTGATCGGCAGGCGCTTCAGGGATTCTTCAGGGTATCCTTTTAACACCTGACCTAACGGAGGGAATCGGTGGTGATATGTCTCCTAAAAAATCGTTTGGCAATTACTCGTCGTCCATGTCCGCAAAGTGGCCGCTCCAATGCAATTGCAGATGTCTCAGCATGGCGTAGACGCTGATAATTTCCGTCCGCTTCAGTACGTTCGTGTTCGGGATCCGGTTCTGACACCTCAACCTCAGTATCCGTCAAAGACAGCTGAGGTGGAGGTGATTGAGTCTGTGACTGCTTTATGTACGCAGTCTAGGTCTCAGCTCCATACAGCAGCGTCGACAGGACAAGGGCCTTGTAAATCTCTAATTTGGTATGGAGATGGTGACAGTGGCTATTCCAGTCTGCGCTTTGTAGACGGCTGAAGACTTGGCTGGCTTTGGAGATCTGCGGACTACTTCATCGTCTATCTTGTTGGTACGGGAGAAGGTTCTGCCCAGGTGGAAAGAGTTGTCCACGACTTGCAGTTGGGTGCCGCGTAGGCAGCGTCCGGTGGCGGTTGATGCATAACCACCGTGCTGATAACTAGGCTGTAGCTGTTGAAGGCGGCAGCCAAGAGGTCCATGACCCCTTTGTGTGCCCCCTTCCGAGGTAGCGTTTAGGACGCAGTCATCAGCGAAGAGAAATTCATTGCCGGTAGTTATGGACAGATGTGACTGGAAATGCATCCTCCACCGATTGCGGCGGTGGCTGTCCGTCCTGTAGGCGGTGCGGATCCTAGGGCGTTTGTCGGGGTAGGCATGCAATTACAGGGCAAAGAATATGGGACTGAAGAGGGTGGGCGTCAGAACGCAGTCCTGCTTCACTCCGTTGTTCACTGCGAATGCCTCTGAGGCTGTTCCTTCGTCTCTGACCCGCATCATCATGTCGTCGTGGAGCTAAAGCACCATCTGAGTGAATATCTCGGGACAGCCAAATTTCTGTATGATTTTGCCCAGTCCTTCGCGATTCACCGTGCCGAAGGCTTTCGACTGATTCATGAAGATAGAGTAGAGGCAGGTCATCATCTCCTGACACTTCTCCTGGAGCTGGCGAGCGGCAAAGATCACAACGGAGACTGACAGTGCCCAAGGGCCGCTATAATAAACCTATTCTATTCTATTCCATTCGTGGTCCGACGACAACGGTGGATACCGCACTGGCTTTCGAGCAGGAGACCTTGTTCTAGGTGATTGTTCAGGAGATCGAGAATGACGCGAGCGAGGATCTTCCCAGCGATTCTCAGCAGGGAGATACCCCGATGGTTGTCACAGGGATGGCGGTTGTCCTTCCACTTGTGTAGATGAACGATTGTGGCGTCCTTAAAATCCTGCGGGACTTCTTCTTGAGGCCACATTTTCTGGAAGAGCGCCGTCAGATGATCCATGAGTTGGGGCTACCGTGCTTATAGATTTGAGCAGGCATTGCTTCCGATCCAGGCACTTTCCTGCTGGAAAGCTGCTGCACGGCCCTGATGGTCTCATGGAGGGAGGGCGGTAGGTCGACAACGGCGATGGTCAGCGCTGAGAAGAGGAGCAGCGGCTTTGGTTGCGAACCGTAGACAGCCTGGGTCATGGGGAAGAAATTCTTTTATTCGTTGCGACCCGTGTAACCTTGTGAGCCGTTCAAGCGGCCTGCATCTCCCGCATGTGCTATTTCACAAGGCGTCGACTGCGGTAGAAAACTGCTTTGTTGGCGTCGGTGGAGCGGGTGACATAGGATTTGCGCGGGTGTTTCTCCCAGATAAGCAAGTTGCTGACGGTGACGTCATTGTCATTGTCCTGGTGTTGACGTAGTGCGTCAACTGAACTGTGTCCCGCAGTTGGCACCATCGCTTCTCCATGAGGGCTTTCTTGTCAGCTGTGGCGATGGCGGCGACAGGAAAGCTGGCTTTTTGTTGAACTAACTCATTGCTGAAGTAGAGAGGGTGAGCAGACAAAGACCACATGGCCATATTCAGTTTACCTGTGGCCGATTTCCTTGATGTCTTCTACGAGGCGGTCAGCGAGTCCGCATCCTGCGGATGACGGGACGGTGGTCGGTCCACCCGCCGGCATCCGGAATCGCTGTTGCCACCAGCACGCCCTGCTGATCTCGCTTGCAGACGACTACATAGTGGTCTGATTGTTAGTCAGGGTGAGCCTGTAGTCTGCTCAGGGGGTTTAGGGGTGTCAGCGGTGGGTTCACGTAATGGTCGTGGTGGTCGCTCACTTGCTTGCAGGTGAGACTGCGCCTAGCGTCCACTTGCTGGCACTCAACTCTCACCTGTGGCTCCATGTAGCTGGACTCTGCTCAGCAGCCACACCCCGGGCAACCGTCTCGACCGGCGGGCTAAACCAGGTGAGGGGGCCCTGTGCGCTGTGCCGTGTGCACAGGGTTTGCGGATTCCGCTGGATGGAAGGTCGGATGGAACCTTGC